CGGAGTCCTCCGGGAGTGGGCGGCATACAAGACAAATAAATAATAATAATAATAATAATTCGGAAACCAACCCATACGCTCGGAGAACAAATCTTCACTTTAATCCTATACCTGCACTACAGATATTCGCCACTATTGTAACACAAACATCTGTCTGTCTATCTGTATCATCTATCTCATATGCATAGCTGGGATGGGGAAAAAGCCTCCAGAATTGATCTCGGTCAGCCCTATCTGATAAAGCAAGGAAGCAGGGCAGTATGTACAATGTTTTTCACCTGTGGCAATATGATGTTTTTTAGCTCTTTCTGTGTAAACAGTTCTGCATAGGCATCTAGGTGAGAGAGGAGTACCATCCGAACATGTTCTTCGTGCACCTCGAAGAGTTTCAGCAGCACTGGGCTGACATGTGCTTGGAACATAGCCGGAGACAGCAGGCCATTGATCTGGCTTTCACTCAATTTATCTGGCATAAACAAATTGGAAAGTTAACATGACGTCAGTTAAAACTGGCAATTCAAAGTTTTTGTCACAACTGTTACCACCAATATTTCATTTTACAATTAATTATTTAAAACTTAAAACTAGAAGTCTTTAAAGAGAACTGTTAACTTTTTCTAGCATTTGGGGCACGATGTGAAAAAACAGAAAGCTTCAGTCCTTGCTTACTGCAGCCAATGGGAAGGACGAAAGGAGTCGATATGGCAACTTTCATTCATCTCTAAGAACAAAAACTCCAGTAGTACATTTTAAACCAACCATTATCTTGGTTAAAGAGTTAGAAAATCGGGATAGAAAACATGGCAGAAGAGGTGAAAACAGCCATGACAATTTTTGTCCCCTAACCCCATCCTGTGGCACTTCTAGGGCACTCCCAACTCTCAGACTGAACGCATGCTGGAGAGATAGTAGTCAGTGTTTACCCTTCTTGGGCCCCAAAAGATGAGGAAGAAAACTCTTGACAGCTACTGGTTCAGCAAACACAAGCTGATTGAGCAAGAGAGGTACCAAGCGCAAAGCAATCAACTTCTCTGACAAGCCAGCCACTCTATCTAGCAGGAATCTGTATTAAGAAAGAATTTGGTCAGTACCTCACGGCTTCTACATTTATATACATTTACCACTTCTCCCCTCAAACATTAAAAAAAAAACAGGTCAAACCCTTTGCATATTATTCTTATAAGAATAAGCTCCATAATGGGGCAGCCCTTGAAGAGCATTCGGAGACTTCAGCTCGTCCAGAATGCAGCNTATGAAGTACCAGTTGCCTTCCTTCTAAGCAAATCTGCCACTTGCCAGGGTGCTAACACTTAATATTTTGGAGTTGGGGTGGGGGAGTCTCCAACATTAATATCGAACCACACAGTGGACAAGCCACAATGTAAAGTTTCTCCATCATTTCATTTACAAGCCTGCAACTGTTCTTCATATGTTTTAGCCTCCAGTCCCCTAATCTAACCTAATAAGTTTCTTTGGGTCTGCCCAGTTCTAGATTTCTTGATTCTTACATCAGCCGGAATGTGTTTTTCCCTTGAATCTGCTTAGGCAGCGAGTTGTAACTTTCAAATGGATTTCCTTGTTGCAGAGCTGGGAAGTGGGTGTGGGAAGAGAAGAGGTGACCCTCCGTTCAAAAGGAGAAACAGGTTGGGTGGGAAATGCAGGTTGGAAGCAGTAATGCAGTCCATGTAAATCATTGGTTTGAAATAGCTGGAGAATTAACACACCGTGGATCCTGCTGAGGTCAGGGAAAGGGGGCTGTGCACCGTGGAAGGAATAATATAAGCAAAAAATATGCAGCGCCGGAGAAGGGTTGGAAAACAGCAGTTTTGACCGGACTTATTGTGCGAATTGCTGAACCAAGTTAGTGAAAGACTCTGTGGTGTCTTTATAGAACATCCCCAAGTTTGGTGAGTGTGACGTTTGGTTAAGGTTTGGGTGGTGGCTGAAAATATCCTGTGAAACTCCCCCAACGCATTAATTCAGGAATGAAGTCTGTTGTGAGAACGTCCACAGTAGTTTTGGATGGGTTAACCTGCGAGATTCATAGAAAGGACTGTTGTAAGGAGCGTGTTGTCTGAATATACCTGGGAGTAGGTGGGGGGTTGGCGTGGGGCGATTGTAGAGAGCTTGTATCCTGTTGCGGCTAATTTTGCGTGGATTTTAAAAAAATGAAAGGTTAACAGCTGTTTTTTTTTCTGACGGGAACAAATCTTTGCATTTGGGGGGGGGGAAGTTGCAGGCTTCGTCAGGTTTTGTCTCTTCTATCGCTGAATATTTAAAGCTTATGTTCGAAGCGAGGTGGGTGGGTGTGATAGCATAGCCTTTATTGTCGTTGTGCATCGTGGATACAACGAAATTGGTTTTTTTAGCCTCACTGGTGCAATCCCTGACGACAAATGCAAGAAACATAAATAGCATAAAGAATAATCCCTACACAAGTAATTAGGAAAAGGAAAAGGAAAACGAGTCATACGTTTTCCGCCTGTGCGTGCAGTGATTGTGGTTGTGTTTAAGAGTCTGATAGCCCAAGGACAGAAACGATTTTTAAACCTATTTGTTTGGCTGGCTATACTTTGATGTCTTCTGCCCGATGGTAGATGTTTGAAGAGACACTGACCAGGGTGTGAATCATCTCCGAGTATCTTCCTTACTCTGCTAAAGCANCCTTCCTCCCCCTTCCTTCCTTCTCTCATTCCCATCTCCTTCCTTTCTCCCCACTCTCCCTCCCCTCTCCTCTCCTTCCTCCCTCCTTCCTTCTTTCATCCCTCCCTTCCCTTTTTTGCCTGCCCACCTGCCCCCCCCCCATCTCCATCAGTGACACTGAGCAGCTTACAATTAAAATATTAAAAACAATTTCACACAAAAATCAATAGAAACATTGACACTCTTTGGCTGATGGGAGCTGCACCATGCCATTCTGTTCGATCTCAACCCATCCAGCTAGGCCAGGGGTCGGCAACCTTAACTAGTCAAAGAGCCACAAAGGTCCTAACCAGAAGCCCCCCATTCAATTCTGGAGCCAACCGGAAGTCCAGTTCCCCCACCATAGAGTCTCCTCCTAGCGCGGCATCCTTTTTCCTCTACCTGTCCTAACTGAAAGCCCTATCAATTGTGGAGCTGACCAGAAAACCCGCCCCTTGCCATAGAGTCTCCTCCTGGTGCGCTGTGCTTCCCCCCCCCAAAAAACTGGAAGCTCCTCTCAAAATTGTGGCGCCAAGCAGCAACAGAGAGCCACAGCAGAGGGAGGAAAGACCCACATGCGGCTCTAGAGCCATGGATTGCTCTCTTCCACCACTTAAATTCCTTCCCCTCGAGTAGGGTGTTGAATATGGGCTCCAGCAGGCTTACATAATTTGGGGTGGATCAAAACACGATCAGCCGCCCTTGGTGGAAGAAGAGCCACCTTGGACGTCCAGCCATATTCCGAAGGCCTCCCAGCCCCAGGTGTGATGGCCAATTGTTTTTTCACTTCTCTTTTCTCCCAAATGCCTAGAAATGGGGAAATTTCACAAGCAACGCCTGTCCTCGCCCTTTCTCTTTGTCCGTTCCCCAAAAAAAACCCTTTAATTTCAAGGACCGAATTGTTCGGATGAAGTGGCAGAGAAAGGGGGAAACGGGAGACGAGAACAGCTTACGCCGCAGCTCCTGAAGAACAAAATCAGTTCTGTTCGAGCGACGGGAACTTAAGAAGGTAGAATAACAGAGTTTGGAAAAAGACCTTGGAGGTCTTCTAGTCCAACCCTCTGTTTGAGCAGAAGACTCTAAACCAAGTGATGGCCAACCTATGGCGCGCGTGCCAGAGGTGGCACGCAGAGCCCTCTGTGGGCACATGTGCTGTCACCAGCTGCTCTTCTGGTTTCTGGCGGCTGCATGCGTGCTGGCCAGCTGGTGTTCACGCACTCCGAGAACCCGAAGGCAAACTGGCCGGTGTGCACATGCTCACTGGCCAGCTGGTTTCTGGGTTTCCGGCACTCCAGCGTTCACAAATGCACATGTTCTGTTTTGGGCACTCAGTAGCGGAAAGGTTTACCATCACTGCCCTAAACCATTCCAGACCAACGGCTATCCAGCCTCTTCTGAAAAGTCTCAACAATTGCCGCACCCGCATCTTCTGAAGGCAAACTATTCCACTGGTTGATCGTTTTCACAGTCGGGAAGTTTCTCCTTTAGATCTAAGTTGCTTCTCTCCTTGATTAGTTTCCACTCCTTTCTTCTTGTCCTGCCCTCAGGTGCTTTGGAGAATAGCTTGACTCCCTCTTCTGGGTGCGCCTTGGTACACCCACGTTACACCTATCCTCTGCGAGCTGCACTGGTTACCGATTGGTCTCCGGATGCGCTTCAAGGTGCTAGTCGTCACTTATAAAGCCCTTCATGGTATTGGACCTGGGTACTTGAGAGACCGCCTGCTGCCAATTACCTCCCAAAGACCCATTAGATCACACAGGGTTGGCCTCCTCCGGGTTCCGTCTACCAGCCAATGTCATCTGGCCACTGTGACCAGGGGGACATTTGCCCAGGTTCACCTGGTGCACCAATTGCGTCCCTCGGTACACCTACATTACACCTATTCTCCGCCAGCTGCACTGGCTGCCTGTTGGACTCTGGACGTGCTTCAAGGTGCTAGTCGTCACTTATAAAGCCCTTCATGGTATTGGACCTGGGTACTTGAGAGACCGCCTGCTGCCAATTACCTCCCAAAGACCCATTAGATCACACAGGGTTGGCCTCCTCCGGGTTCCATCTACTAGCCAATGTCATCTGGCTAGTACTCGGGGGAGGGCCTTCTCTGTGGCAGTGCCGGCCCTTTGGAACGAACTCCCCGCAGG